CGAAGTGCCGTTTAATTGCCGCCGTCGTGTAAATACGCGACGCGCCATTGCACCGTGCGCGCATCGCGCCCCGGGTATCCATTTATCTCGCGATAACGCTCGAATAAATAAATACATCGCGATAGAAAACACGGCTCGCGCGTGCATTGATTAATTATACATTACTCCCACACGTTATACTTTCCTGTTTTATTATTATTTTAAAAAGTATTCGAGGGATATGTATTCCGCTCGACCATGAAAAATTGCTCTCATTTAATTCTTTTCCCACGAAGGATTAAGAGAAAAAGAGAATAGGAAGCGTGTAATTTTTGTGTTTGAGAATCGGGGCTAAATTTTAATTAGAAAAGTCGGTTTAACAAGAGCGCGAGAGAGGCTTCTTGGGCAAAAATACTTGCAGGACTCTTTCGCTTGTCCTCGCGTACAAACGGATTTCTTTGCGAGACGCAGAAAGACCATCCGCAAATAGAGAGAGAAAGAAAGAGAAAGATGGGGATATATACGTGTACATTTAAAATAAACTCACGTGTCTGGTGTAAAACCGCAAATGCGGCGCCCCGCGAGCGGGAACGGGACGAGCGACACGCATCGCGGTGGATTAAGTTGCGTTCGTTCTTCACGCCGCGTCGCGGCGCGACGAGATGTATAGATAGGATAGAGTATAGAGTATATTCCTTTTCTCCCGTCTCTCCCTGCTTTTTTGTTTCACCTCTCGAACCGCAGCGCGGAATGCATTTATCCGCACGTCGCAGTGGCACTCGACACGCGGCCGACGCGGCGTCGCGCGAACCCGCTCCGTTCGCTGAAACGACGTTGATATTCCTCGCGTAACGTGAAATCTTCCGCGAGAATCCCCGGTAGAATCCGTCAAAGGTGATCGCGAGCAAAACGCGAAATTCTAACGAGATTTAAGGCCCCAATTCTGTAATTCTTAACGACAGTCTTGGATAGAACATAGAAAAAAGTCAAATGATATCATAACGAACGTCATTATTACTTTATTTGTGGTTTATAAATATATAAATTTTTACAAATGACAGATAAAATCGTGATGGTATCTTTATGATATAATTTGACTTTTTTTTTATAATTACATATTATGACTTCTGTGTTCTTATCTGAGAGTGTCGGTATCGCTATATCGCCGTTGCGCAGATATTATTCATGGGCTGCACAACGACAATATATTATATAATGATATCGATATTGTCATTAAGAGTTACAGAATAGAGGCTTTACAGTTCTAAAGTTTGAAAATATCGAGTCATTTATTTGTTCGCGTCATCTATTTTTCTCTCTGTGTCGTATTGTGTTCTGAAGCACTCTTAAGACTCCAAAGACTTCATGTCCTTTGATTAGTAACCCGATAGATGCTTATTCCGCGTCGATACGCATGTCTCGTCATACAGCCCCGACAAGTTCTCGTTGCGACGTTGCGGGCTCAAAGTGAATCGAAAGTGAACGGTCGTCGGTGGCGCGTGCAAGAGGAGTGAACGACACGACGACGGGGTGGTGGCTGCGTGGGAGGAGATGCAGTCGCTCAAACTTTGGGAGACGAGAACTCTGGAGAGACTGTCCCGACGTAGACGCCGTCGAGTGTCACGATGGTACATACACGGACCCGCCCTAAACTCGCGCTCTCTCTTACTCTTTCTCCCCTGTCTGTCTATTAATAAACGCGGACGAATGAACCTGCCAACGAATGATCCTGACGTCGCGCCTTACGCGTGTGCCTTTGAACGCCTCGCTGAGTATCGAGTAAAGATCGTAGAGTTGCCATCGACTGCGCCTCGCGTCTTTCTTCTCAGATTTTCTATCACGGTCTTGGGCGATCGTACGTGTGTATATTTTTTATCACGATCTTGCATCCACGATGCTAGACATTCAGGATCTTGGATAGGGAAAGAATTGACCAATCGTATTGATCAATTGGTCGTATTATTCAAATATGATTGGTTAATTCTTTCTCTGTCCGAGATCTCGGAGTGATTGCTAGCATCGTGAACACAAGTCTTTAGAAAAAGTGGAAATTGTAATAATCTATAAAGCAGTCCAAGATTTGTAATTGTGGGCATTGATGTATCATCAATGTTTATTGCCTTATTATATTGCCTTAGTTTTCTTAATGAAACTGCACGGAAAGAACAATTTTGCTGAATCCAGATTTGAAAAATAATTTTTATTTAATAATCAAAATAATTTTTTGCGAAAGTCAAAATGATTGCTGGAATAACAAAACGTTTTCTAGCAATGTTTATCAGTTTTAACATTCCAACAAATTATTTTGATTCAACAAAAAATTATTTTCAGTTCTGTATTTAGCAAAATTTTTAGACCTTTCAACAAAATCGTTCTTTTCGTGTTGAAAAAGGAAGACAACAGGCGTGAACGCGGACGCACGTCGAGACAATGCCTAGAATGACAAGTCTCAGGATCAGCGTCTCGATACTCGTCTAAGAAGAGCTCCAGAAAGAACGTTAGAATACGACTTGATTAACGGTCCAGTTGATGACGTACGTTAGCGTAATCCGTGCGTCAATTGCGTCCGCGGTGGGACATGCCGCGCGTGTGGGACTCGCTCGAGTGCAACGCCCCGCGAGTAGTATATCGGCCGAGCTTCCGATGAAGCTTTCGTGCGTCGCGTCGCGTCGCGGGACAGGCGTCCGTGGCCGCCGGAAGCAGGCCTCGCGCCGACAACGACGCTATACGTAATCCATTAATATCGCGCGCGCGCGCACGGGAGGAGGAGATGGCGCGGTAATTAATGCGTGACGTTTAATTCGCGACGACCGTGCCCAAACCGGCGACACCATTGTTTCGACGAGATGAGAGATAGAGACGAATACCCTCAGAATCGGTCGTGACAGTCGCGCGCGTGCGCCCCGCACAAGGGCGTCCGATACCCGCAGCTGTCCGTGGGAAAAATAAAAGAAAATTAGTAGAAACCAATAGACGGGTCCGTGAGTTAAGTATGAGAGCTCGGCGATTCGATTACACACGGAAGGAACGAATTATCTAAAAATGTAGCTAGATCTGATACAGATCTGAAAATAATTTTGTTGGACCATCAAAATAATTAATTTAGGAAACTCAAATATAATGAGCAATGCTGCAAAAATTTTTATTCTAGCAATCAGCTTGAGAAAACGTCTTATATAATTATTTTGATACTTTAACAAGATTATTCCTCTCAAATCTATACATATCCAGCTAAATTTCTAGATAAAACAGTCCTTTTCGTATTAAATCGATTTTAACGAGATTTATGTGGTACATAATTTTTCTAAAGATTTACCGTAATTTACAATTTTTTATATTGACTGATATCCGGTAAACTCTTTACGTACATCACTTATTATATCCTCTCAGAAATCCAGATTGTCTGGGATTGTCGCAAATAATTTACAATCCCGTGATTTCCCGAATCGCGACGTATTTCGCAAATGTATAACGCCAACGAGACGGGCAGCTTCCACGCGCGCGTCTGTGAAACGCGCGGCGCGACGAATTCGCGAGAGGACGACGAGGGCAGCTAGCTGGCTTAACGATTTTCCGGGGACATCTCCGCGTGGCGGCAGACGGCTGTAACTGATGCATCTTTAATGCTGTCCTGTCGACCTCGGCTCGCCGGAGAATAGCGACGGTGGCGGTCCGCCGCGATGCTTCCAGCCGGCGGAACCGTTTGGTTTGCGTGACGCGCCCATCGCGCGAAATCGAGCTTCCTCGTCGAGCCCGCGGCATCGCCGTCGCGACCGATAATCAAGAGTGACGTGCCTGGCTCTCGTCCTTCCAGCCGGTTAGACAATTATTTGAGCATCGTAATGGACAGAGAGAGAGAGAGAGAGAGAGAGAGAGAGAGAGAGAGCGAGAGAGAAAGAGGAGCACGACCGGATACGCGGGGATGATGTGACAAGCGCTGGCGCTTCCCCGTAGTCCCCCCCGTCTCTTTTAATTAAATGAATCTCGACGGTATATCGTTAAAACGAGAGGTCGTCTTAGGAGCTCGCCGGGATAGAGCGATTCCGTTGTAAATCCGTTTGCTGTGTACACATCAGGACGATCGTCATTGTCGACCCGGGGATAGATAGAGAGGGTAGGGGGGAAAAAGTCTCCGCGTTGATCTCATCTCCGTAATGGATTATTAAATACTCCTTACGGATTATGTATAAGCTATCGATAGGACGATCTCGGAGTTTGTCGAGCGAGCGAACGCGCCTTTCCACTTTTAACTGTTTCGTGCCTCATCTTCCGCGTTGCGTCCTCCTGTCCGACAGATGAATTATTCACGAAGGATGAATTATTCATAGAAAGGAGAGTACTTAGTCTTCATAATACACATTCCGCTTAATATGCGATACGACCGGCGATTTATTATTTGCGATTTGCGTTAAGTGGTCGCGGGGCTCCGCGCGATCGTCACGAGAAATTTCTCGCTGACGGATTCGAGTTTTCCTTTAAACAAAGCGCACGGCATTCGCGAGCCCGGATTTAATTCCAGAACGCAGCACTTGGGTCTGGGAAATCTACAGGAAATTTCGATTAATAGTTATTTTCGGTTTTCGCTTAATAATAATTAACCTTTTCTTAATAATAATAATTTACAATAGATCATTTTTCGGCGATGCCGTCTATTCAGTGGCATTTCTGGGACTCTGAACTTTCATTTAAAAAAACTGTCGAAAAATATGGATTGAAACCAAAGTTAATATGACTTTTTCAAAGTTCTTTGAGTTTCCCAGATGTGTTGTGTTTCAGGTTGGCGTCGTGCTGTGGTCTAAGGTTAAATTAGGTCCTCACCGCCGTTCGCTTTTAAGCGTAATTTTCTTGGCCCAATAATATTACCGTTATAAAAAATCGTCATTATTACAAGAAAATCGTTGCTATAAAAAAGTAACAGTAATTCTGTAACGGCGTTATCGCCGTTACTTTCCGTCCCTTGCCCGAGACGCTCGACAAAGACGTTCTCTAACAGGCGACCTCACGCCTTTCTGATTTTTCAGCCAGGACCTATTGACGGTGTGCCGGGAATTGAACCTCGAGAATTCGGTGGAGGAATTGATGCGGGAATTGGGCGCGGACGAGCACGGTCGCATTTCCTATCAGGAGTTCCTTAGGCGGCGTCTGGCCCTGCGACCGGAAATCGAGGCGCTCAGGGCCGGCAAACGACGTAGCAGTCCGCATCACACCCACACGCCGGAGTACCTGCCCACCAGCAGCGACAACAGTCTCGGTAAGAATTCGTACAAATTGCACGAAATTTCCGCGCGACAGATCCCTCCTTTCCGCTCTCGCGACGATAAATCACCCCCGCGTTAGCACATGGTTGCGATTGACCACACCGCTCACAGCGACGAGCCCCTGGCTGGCTTCTTTGCTGGAGAAACTTCCAATCAATAAAAAAAATTTTATTAAAATATTAAATCAGCCAATTGGCGATGTAAACTATATCGGATCGTGCTCTATAAATCAGCTAGGCCGCAGGACAATTCGGGAAAGAATCTCGCGCGAATAACAAACATCGCGCATCCCCGTTCGCCGATTTCTGGAAATGTAGACGACGTGTTTTGTTCGATGGGACGCAAAGAGCTCGCTCACTCGGGATATCGCGCGCGTCGGACAATGTATTGCGATCCTATAGCATATCTACGTGCCCGCGTGGAAATAGAGCGCGAGCGCTCGAAATTGATGATTGATGGAACAATGAATACGAGACGACCGCGGAAATACTGCAACGCGGCGGCGGCATTTGTAATATCCCGATCGAGCGGGGTCGCGCGTGCATGTTGGATATACGCGATACCTATGCGCGAGAGATCGATGCACGGAATATGGAAGTGACGACTTTCGGGATATTGCACGTTGCCGCACGCATTCCGTTTCTCGCCATTTTTACCGTCAACCGTAAATCTTCATCGAACGATAACCATCAGGCCGATAGAAAAGAAACAATTCGCGATCGTTACTTTCTTTAATTATTTCGCGCCGCTATACGAACAACTCTCTAACAGGAAACTCGCGCGCGGAAATTTTTCCTTGAAATGATAGCTTTTCCTTGAATTTTATTCCTTGAAACGATAATATTTCCTTGCGAATTCTTTCTTTCTCTCGGAGAGTCATTCGTTAAGCTCGGTCTGCTCATTTTCTCCTTCGCACGATTTTTCTTTGAAAGAAAATACGCCCTGCTATACGAATGCGTACTCGTAACTTCTATTTCAGGCACCGTGTCGGGACGACATGAGAGCTGGGAGTTCGACAGCGGTGCCCGTGATTTGTCGCCGGAACCCCATAGTCTTCAGAAGCTAGTGGAGGCGGCCGCCGGCGGGACGGGAAACATGCTGGACCTCGCGAACAAGGTGAGTCGCGCGACGAACCACCTCGACAAAACGTACGACTATGTCGGATTTATTTTTTGGCGAGAAATTCTTTCTCTCTCTTGGCATTAGATTCGTTTCACATCTCACGCGCGAATCGCTCTCGCGTGATCGCTTGGCGAACGCCTGTCTTAGCGTTACAAACTCCCGATGGTGCCTGTCGTGCACCTATCATGTCGTGTATACTGACGTGACAGGTGAATCCTGCGGACCGCGCGTTCCCTAAATTTCAGCACTCTCTATGCGTTTGCGTAACATATCCGTCGCGTTAATAGAAAAGTGACACGAGTAAAACATGTTTGAGGTAATAAAAGGAAATCGACCCTAAAGTTATTTAGGGTGAATTTCCTTTCATTATCCCAAAAATGCTATTCTTTTATTTGTCACTCCACTATCAACACGACAATGCGGCAACAAAACTGTAAGGCAATGCATTGAGAAAAAAAAGAGAGGAAAAAAGTCGCGAAAAAAATATTCTCTTTCCTATACATTATCTGAAATATCCGAAGTTGAAAGAGATCACGTTGCAAACTATCGACTGAAGCTGCCCGGGAATACTTATCCTTGTTAATGCAACATTCGCGCTGATGGAAAGTCAACGAGACGCGCAATTATCCAAGGCAAATTGTCTTTGCATGCCGATAATCCTCGGTTTTCCTTGGCGAGGGAGAGCACTCTCGTTCGCTTAACTCCTTCATCTCCCCCTCGCCGTCCACGGGGCTCTCTCTATTACTTCCCTCTTCGTATCACGAAGTTCGCGCCTGGGAATTTCTTTGTCAGCCGCAATTAACCACGATACCCACCGCCGTCGCGCGGTATGCCATCGTGGAAGATGGCAAGACGTGCAATTTCTGCATTCTCTCGGCTTTTCCCTCGTTCGCTCGTCGATCGCGCGCTCGCCAGCCTCGGTGTCGAATTATGAGGTGTAGATTAACACTATCGACATTTTATCGTTTGCACGGGATTCTTAATATATTTATCGTCAGAATATAATCAATTGAATTTAAAAGACTTCAAAAGATTTATATATTGATGAATAGTTGAGTTATATGATAATCTTGAAAAAAGAGGTGGATTGCAGCCTCGTCGAACTAGACACGAAGATGTAAGCCGCTTAAAAGCGATTAAATTTCAGATAAAATTTCACGTTCAAGTTGACGCCATGGATTTACGTAACGCCCGTAGCGTTCTTGAAATTTCGTTCTCGCTCCTCGGAGAGTCGCCGCCTCGACGACGAAATTCCCATCTCTCGGGGCGTTTCGGTTCCCCGCGAAATGGTTCGGTTCGCGATCGCGCTCGTAACCGCGTGCCTGCCTGCCCGCCTTCCCCGTTCGCTTTTAAGAGCCACGACAGCTGCAAAGGGAAAAAGAGAGATAAAAGCGGCGCCGAGCGCCAAATTCCGAGGTTATCGCGATTTCTCGCGAGAGAGAGCCTCTCCGCGCTGCCCGTGTTTCGAGGAACGTGAGCACAAGGGGAACAGACGGAGGAACGGTTTCGGGGAAAGGAAAAAAGAAGCGCGCGCCGTTTACTGCCTATAAATAACCGTTATTACGCTCCGCATTACGGCATCGAAAAAAAAAAGGAACGAGAAGGCCGCGGCGGCGAATTTTGACCGCTCGCCGGAGGAGCGGTCGCGGCCCCCACGCGGAAGAATTTACCGAGAAGATATAAAAAGAAAAGTGGTGTATATGTATGAAATTAATATCTTTTCTTTTATTACGAGCGCACGTTAGCGTCTCTTAGGCCGATAAAATATCACGGCGTTCGGTATAGCGGCGCGCATTATTTGCGTTTTAAGAGAAACTCATGCCAAGGTACTGACTCATCCCCGTGTTTTTCCATCACCCCTCTACGCCCACAGGCGAGGTGCGAGAGAAGCTTCCGCGCGCGTCGCGTTACAATCCTGGCGGCGGCGGCGGCGGCGGCGGCGCCGTGTCGACGTGCGACGTCCGTTTTCCGGGAAAGGCGCAAATATGCCGCGTCTTAGGCGCGCACCCGTTCGCCCGATGCGGCGGAGTTGCCCTTCTGTTGCCCTCCCGTTGCCTCGCGCAGACGCTATCCTATACGGTGAAGCACGAATTTCCATAGAAATGGAACGGAGAAGTCGCGGAGTGATAGGGCGCGGGTGAGACGTCGGGGCAAACATAACAGCTAGCGATGTTAATTCCCGCCGTTATCCCGGCGTAGAACTGCGCTACCGTGCAGCGAGATGATACGCTAACGCGCGATCGAGATACCCTCATCGCGTGCAACATCTGAATTCGTGTACATCCACCGCTATAATTGTAGAGCAGTCGATGCCATATTTCGCGAAGAAAATGGAAGATGTAAGATGGAAGATCTAAGGTTGAATTCAGTCCGAGAAAACGAGCAAAATGCGAATGAACAGTCTGCTTTATTCCGGCTGTTACTAAGGCGGCGTATAACAAACAATATAAATGTAATATTATTACAACTGCTTTGTGTTATTTTACTGTGTATTCACGGTAGCTTTGGAAAATAAAATTACCTGTCGTGCCCAAAAAAGATTACCGACCAATACTAAAATACGGAGAGAATATATAGATAATAAACAAAATAATACCACGGGTTTGTATACGTACAGTTGATTTCTCGTGACTGATACGGCGTTATCCGGAAATGCAATTAATATTCCCTAATTGTAACGAAGCTCGTAAAAGCGGGGAAGAAAGCGAGACGGCGTCGCGTATAATATAGCCGACGGTTCCGGGGAGGGATAGATTGTTATCAGAGCGTGTAAAACAGGATGCGCCCCGAGGCCACGGCACACATAAAAAAATGAAGCCGGATAGGTGATAGGCCGCGACGAGGTAATAAAGGAGCAGCAATAAGATCCCGAATAATTTCTCCCCCGGTACAAATGACTTGTGCAAGCGATCCGGAGCGCGTGATAACCCGGCGACGATCGGTCGGAGCCCCGTCTTCTCGGTCTCGCCTCGAAAGACGAAGAAATATCCTCTGACTTGGAACGATGTTTTTCTAGGACGACCGATCGTTATTTTCCATCGCGACGCCCACATCCTTTCTCCCGGGGATATTTACTTCCGCCCTCTCGTCGTCGTCGTTGTGGGAGTCCCCGAGAATTCCATATCTGCTCTCGTCGTGCTTCCCTATGAATTCTCGTGTGATACGCTCGCGTGACGCAATAAACGGTACGTCGGTGGCGATGATACCGTAAGGCGCGGTAAAATTGCGCGCCAACAGGTGCGCGAGACTGCGTGAGAGAGAGAGAGAAAGAAAGGAAAAATCTCGAGATCTCGGGGGAAACTTATCGGCCAGAGCAGTCAGAGATATCAGTGTGTTTCGTGTAAATTAACGAGATCCTCAACGACTCGAGATGAGAAAGAGGGCAAACTCTTGCGATCACCGCCATGACGTAATCCAATTATTGCGTATTGTAACTCTTATACGGTGTACGACGATGATCGCGGCCGTCTCCACGAGACTGTGAAAATAATTCGCGGTAACGGGCGCGAAGCGGGCGGCCGCAGGCTCCTAATTATACGAGGCGTCTCGGGGCTTTCCATTCGAGCGAACGGCGTTTCGGATAACACGCTCCGTTTGGCGTGTCGACATTCATAATCGCGTAGGCATATTCGCTCGTACAAGTGCGAACAACCGTGCGGGACCTTACGTGTGTAGATCGGGCGATAAAATCGCCATAGCAGCGGCGATCCACGGTTTCGTGCGAAACGCGAGAATTCACGGGCCGGGAAACCCACCGGCGGAAAAGCCGGAGCCAACCGCTCTTTTCATCGTCGTCCCGACCTTCGCCCTTTTTCATCTCTCCCTCCCGCGGGAAGCCGCGCGCCGTCGCGTTAATCGAGAAATTAGCGGAGTTAATTAAGACGCCGCACCCACAGGCCGTCCCGCCCACATAATTACACTAATACAATCGCTCTCTCGGTCCTCCTGCGGTCTCTTCCCCCTGTATTTTTTCGTCTCTCCGATCCCCTCGCCTCGTTCCCGCCGGTGAATGACGGAATCGCGACGTTCGATCGCGGGCGCGTTCATTTCCACGTCCATGATCCTCGTGCACGTCGTCTTCGGCACGGAATTTTTGCAAGTTTATCGCCGAGAAAACTGATGACTTACTGCCAGCCCCGTGAGATTAATGGTTTGTCGCGCGAGCAGCGCGGTTCCTGTATACGGTATTACGGCCGCAGCAGCGGACCGCGCCGCGCGCGTCCACCGCGATGACGCCGCAACGGGACGTTTTTCCGCGCCGACGTGCCTCCTAACGAGTTGGAGAGAAACGCGACGGGAGAGGCGGAGCCATCTGCGGCGACGATCCTAATAATTTCGCTTAAGTGTCGCCTATTCGGTTAACCGCTACGGCAATCTTCTCGCGCGCGGTGCCGTTAATAGTCACGTATCTTCGTCTCCCCTGTGATTATGTCAGCTGCGGGTTCTTCTTGTCGCCTCACCTTAAAGGGCATCCGTTCTCAGGATCTAATGATTCGTTTTATCTCAAACCGTTCTATCCTCGATTCCCTGCCGCGTCGGGCAAACAAAGCGCGCGCGGTTTCCGCTGTCTCTCGAATGTAATGCGGCGAACGATGTTCGTTCGCCGGGCACGACATTCGTAACGTTTCTCTAACGAAGAAAAAGAGAAAGTAAAAAAATCATCAAATAATTTGACGAATGGGTACAAGTACATTGAAAGAATAGTTTTGCTGAAATATTTAAAAATTTAGATATAGATCTGATGAAGATAATTACGTTGGATCGATACATCGAAATGTTACAGAACGATGTAACGCTTCAAAAATTTTGCATTCTAGCAACCAGCTTGAATGTTCAATATAATTATTTTAATGGTCCAATGTAATTATTTTCAGATCTGTATTTAGCTGAGTTTTTAGATAATACTTTAAAACCCCGTTCTTTCTGTGTAGCCGTGTTCAATCGATATAGGTACGTGTGCAAGAAAATGCAGACAATGGCATGGAAAATGAAGT